AGAGAACCAGGAAGGGGTCTCGGGCGGACGGCCCGGGGGCAAGGCAGAGGACCAGGAAGGGGTCTCGGGCGGACGGCCCGGGGGCAAGGCAGAGTCCAAAATGGGGACCATGGAGGGGCGAAGGCAGCGGCAGGAAGAGTCAGGGGGCCGGGCCCGAGGGCGAAGGCAACGGCAGGAAGAGTCAGTGGACCGGGCCCGAGGTCGAAGACCGCGGCTCTCAGGGGGCCGGGCTCTAGGGCGAAGACCGCGGCTCTCAGGGGGCCGGGCTCGAGGGTGAAGACCAGACAGCGCCGGAGGCCGGGCAGGAAGGCGCTGACGGGACAGTGCCGGAGACCGGGCAGGACCCGGTGTCGGAGCTGGTGGGACAGGCCTCGGCAGGATCCCCCACGGAAGAGGACCAGGACACGGGATTTGCAGGACCCCCGGCAGGAGAGCAGTCGGCGGGGCCTCCAACGGCACAGGACATAGGATTGGCAGGACCCCCGGCAGGAGAGTAGACGGCGGGACCTCCAACGAGACAGGACAAAGGGTTAGCAGGACCCCCGGCAGGAGAGTAGTCGGCGGGGCCTCCAACAGCACAGGACAAAGGGTTGGCAGGACCCCCGGCAGGAGAGTAGTCGGCGGGACCTCCAACGAGACAGGACAAAGGGTTGGCAGGACCCCCGGCAGGAGAGTAGATGGCGGGCCCTCCAATGGGACAGGACAGGACAAAGGGTTGGCAGGACCCCCGGCAGGAGAGTAGACGGCGGGACCTCCAACGGGACAGGACAAAGGGTTGGCAGGACCCCCGGCAGGAGAGTAGTCGGCGGGGCCTCCAACAGCACAGGACAAAGGGTTGGCAGGACCCCCGGCAGGAGAGTAGTCAGCGGGACCTCCAACGAGACAGGACAAAGGGTTGGCAGGACCCCCGGCAGGAGAGTAGATGGCGGGCCCTCCAACGGGACAGGACAGGACAAAGGGTTGGCAGGACCCCCGGCAGGAGAGTAGACGGCGGGACCTCCAACGGGACAGGACAAAGGGTTGGCAGGACCCCCGGCAGGAGAGCAGTCGGCGGGGCCTCCAACGGCACAGGACATAGGATTGGCAGGACCCCCGGCAGGAGAGTAGACGGCGGGACCTCCAACGAGACAGGACAAAGGGTTGGCAGGACCCCCGGCAGGAGAGTAGTCGGCGGGGCCTCCAACAGCACAGGACAAAGGGTTGGCAGGACCCCCGGCAGGAGAGTAGTCGGCGGGACCTCCAACGAGACAGAACAAAGGGTTGGCAGGACCCCCGGCAGGAGAGTAGGCGGCGGGCCCTCCAACGGGACAGGACAAAGGGTTGGCAGGACCCCCGGCAGGAGAGTAGATGGCGGGACCTCCAACGGGACAGGACAAAGGGTTGGCAGGACCCCCGGCAGGAGAGTAGTCGGCGGGGCCTCCAACGGCACAGGACAAAGGGTTGGCAGGACCCCCGGCAGGAGAGTAGTCGGCGGGACCTCCAACGAGACAGGACAAGGAGCTGGCGTCGTCTGGGGAGCCAGCAGGAGACGAGGTGCTGGAGTCGGCCGGTACGCCGACAAGACTCGGGGAACTGGCGTCGGCTGGAGAGCCAGCCCTGTAGCCGAAACTGGAGTCGAGCCCATGGCTTCCGGGGCCGGTACTGAAGTCGGAAGCATGGCTGCTGGGGCCGGAACCATGGCTGCGGGGGTCGGAATTGAAGCCAGAATCATGGCTGTAAGGTCCGGTTCTGGAGCCGGAAACATGGCTGTAAGGTCCGGTTCTGGAGCCGGAAACATGGCTGTAAGGTCCGGTTCTGGAGCCGGAAACATGACTGTAAGGTCCGGTTCTGAAGCCGGAAACATGGCTGCTGGGGCCGGCACTGGAGCCGGAACCATGGCTGCTGGGCAAGGAACCGGAACACGGATCCATGGCTGTGTGGGGTGGTACTGGAGCACGGTACCATGGCTATGTGGGATGGTACTGGAGCACGGAACCATGGCTGCTGGGTCCGGCACTGGAGCCGGAACCATGGCGGTTGGGGCCTGTACTGGAGCCGGAACCATGGCTGCTGGGGCTCGGGCTGCTAGCCTGGCCATGCGACGACTCCTCTTAGCAGCCTCCTGAATACTCCGTGGACCTCCATAAGCCTGACGAGTTCCGGAATACGACTCCTGGACAGGAGCAGGAACTGGGGCAGAAGCACTGGCTGACTCCAGACGGACCACACTGAGACGTTTGTAGTCAGCAGGCTGGAAATCACACACCCAGAGGAAGTTCAAAATCCAGCCAGGCAAGAACTTCACCAAGTCTGGTTTCTCCATCGCCAACCGGTGCGCCTCTACCAGAGCGGCCTCCCTCTGCCGAACACTGGACGCTCCACTCCACCAATCACAGCAGCAAGCCAAACCAAAGGAAAAATGCTGTAGCTCCACCTCAAATGGATCATCTGCTGGGTCCATTTCTGGTCGGTTCGTTCTGTCACGGTTTGTGTGGGAAACAGGACCCAAATGCAGACTTAAGTGACAAAAGAATTCCTTTATTTCAAGGCTACAAATATCTAGACACAGAACAGAACACTCACCGCAGAATTACTCAAAACACAAGACGAACCGACAAAGACAGACGGAAAAACCAGAACTTAAATACACCCAGGACTAATCAAACAAACACGAGACAGGTGAGGAGGTAGGAGAAAACACAGAGGCACCAGGTGAACACAATCGGGTAATCAGGGAGGGAAAACAGACAGAAAGCAACAGGCAGGAAACGGGGGTGAACAATTTACAAAATAAAACAGGAAACCCAAAGATAGAAAAAGACAAGACAAAACAACAACACAGACAGATCGTGACACTTATACACACACCAAAATAACGTTTACACATAAATAAAGTTTATCACAGACACACATGTAAATAAGTCTATGACAAAGTCTCATCTGTACAGAACAGTATGATCAAATAAAATACATGTCTATAAATGTCTCCGTTGCGGGACGAATAAAGGATTATTTTTATTCATCTACACATGTAACCTTACTTATACATGCCAAAATAACGTTTACACATAAATAACATTTACACAGAGTAAACGTTTACTAATCAAGAGTCTATTTTGTCCCGAGAAAAAGTTCATGAGGGGAAAATAAAAAGGTGGATAAATCCATTGTTCATTTTCGCGGTACTCCTCACAAAATGGCAAATGCACTACAAGTTATATTTACACTTACCCATCCTCAAATGGATCCCTGCTGTCCCTGTATTCTTCTTCTTCAGAAGAGTCGAAGCCTTCAGGTTCTGATGAGCCATCTTCTTCACTGCCGCTCGCAAAAATAAAATCCAGCGCGTCCGCAACGGTAAAGTTCCTTCGAGCCATTTTCTCTATCTTCTTCACAGACTAAAAGACTGAAACTGATGGGAGACACCTGTTATATGTTTTTTTATTGGTGGGTAGGTCCTTAGATTTCTCGAGTGTCCATTGGTCATTTCAGACCGACATGGCTGCCGGCCGGCCGAGATGTCCTTGACTGACACACAAATCCACCAATCACACACAGTGTAACGCCGAATCAAGCTGCTTTGAGCGGCAATATTGGCTGCTGTGCCCTGGGTACAGTCTCACAGGAGTTACTCTTGAAAAGCTACGATTCTAGCGATTCCGCAGATATCTGAATCATATTTCTACTCCTTACAAGCGAAAATCTATGATTAAATACGTAAATAAATGTGCACTCCAGAGGATGTTAGGTCCACCCCCCACTTAAATCATGTCCACATGGATATAGGATACTAAATACATTTGCACACATCTTGTGTCCATATCTTTCTGTTTTGGTGGTCATGCCTCAACCGGCGTGCACGTGCATGCATGCACGAGTCATAGTGAGTGTCTGCATTTTGGGGGGGGCACCAGCTAAAATCTTGCCTTGGGCAGCAAATTAGTCAGGGCCGGCCCTGCACTGTGGACACTAATTAGAAGAACACAGACTAAAACAGCAATGTACAGACGAATCAGATGATTAAACATGATCTTAAAATATATTTTATATATATATAGCTTGCACATCTTCCGGCGCAAACTGAAAACTCATCTCTTTCGACTCCACTTCGAGCGTTAGAACTATTAACGAAGCACTTTTATACTAATAAAGGACTGGCTTACCTAAAGCCAGTTGAGTAGCACTTGAAATGTTTGGCTCTATGAAACCTGATGTACTTATATGATTCTGTTTTCTTCAAGGTTGTGTCTTCCTGGTCGAATGTACTTATTGTAAGTCGCTTTGGATAAAAGCGTCAGCTAAATGCAATGTAATGTAATGTAATATATATTTTTTTTTGCATTTTGCATTTTGTTGTAATCATTATTTAAAAAAAATTCTGCTGACACTAGGTGGGGGCACAACCCCACCATCAGCCCCACCATCTCTGCCCCTGATGACCAGTCGCCACTGCCCATGATTATTTTGATTAGTTGTTACACTGACATGTATAACTACAATTATATTTCAGCCTCAAGCAAGCATTGTGCAGATAGACAACGTATATTCAGGCAATATTCAGCCAAATAATATCAATACAAAATTGAGAAAAGTCATTTGAAAAAATGTTTCTCTCATTTATTACATTTGGGGCAACTCAGATTTTATTTAACACATCACATTTTAACACACATTTATCACATTTTCAGATGAAAATAGTTTTCAATTAAAAAGGATGAAATTGGAGAATAATTTCTAACTTCAAGCATGTTTTATAAGACTAACAATTAGAAGTCAAAATAATAATAATAATAATAATAATAATAATAATAATAGGCTAATACAAAATAATAATAATAATAATAATAATAATAATAATAATAATACAAATAATAATTATATACCGCTACACAGTAGGATATCATCCATACCATTTGTAACATGTGTACAGTCTGTTATTTACCCTTCAGGAAACATTTGAACACAGTTGTCAATAAAGTTTCAAAGACTCTTTTGACGTTGCTACATTCTGCGCATGCGTACTAGTGCAGTACTGCAGAGAGGGATCCCGCAGCTGCTGCTGTCAGGAGCGTGCAGGAATGTGTGTGTCTCCAGTCTCCTTGTGAGTGAAATGACTCTAGGACAGCACTGCAGGCATGTCTTCACTCCGTGCTTTGTAAGTAAACACAGTATGAGTGTGTGTTCTGCTCCTGTAACTCACAGCTCTTGAAGTAATGGCTCCAGAGCGAAGAAGGACGCTGTCTGTCTGCTGGCTAACCCATTGAGGACATAAGTTACCCGGGTCGACATGGCCTCTGTCACCGTCAGCTCGGCGGCTCAGAGCCCCGGGAAGAACCGCAAGTCCTTGTCACTGCTCTTCTACCGGGCTGTGCGGGACCTGAAGCCGGTGTGGATGCTGGAGGAAATACGGACGATGCAGACCTTTTACCAGGAGGACGCCAGCCAGAGGAGTTATACCTCTTCGGAAGCATTGCTATACGCTATAGTTCACGACCACCAGGCGTACGCCAAGTACCTGCTCAGCCGGTACACCGACCAAGCGCTAGCAAAGCCCGGGGAGTGCTTCTGCTGCTGCCCGTCCTCCGCCCCGCACCTGGCCATGGCTGTCCGCTACGACAGGCGCTACATCCTCGGCCTCATTTTACAGGAGACACACCGGATACCCAGCGCGACATCCTACACGGACAGAGACGGGTGTTTTCACATGGAGGACGGCAGGACCCCCCTGCATCTAGCCTGCGAGCTCCTGCGGCCCGAGGTGGTCATCATGCTGCTGGGGAACGGAGCGGCCCCGCAAGCCCCGGACCACAACGGCCTGACCCCGCTGGATGTCATTCTGGAGAAACTCAGGGAGGGTAAAGAAGCGAGATGCGGGGAAGGGAGGCAGTGTCTGGACAACCTGCTCATGTTCATACCAAAGGTTCACTTTAAGATGCAGGGGGCTCTGAGCAGAGAGCCGGAGCGATGGAGCGAGGTGCTGGGGGAGGAGACGCTCAGCTATCTGTCCGGAAGAAGCCCGGCGCCGCTGCTCCTCACCGCCATGCAGACTATACTGAGGCAGCTCAGCCCGGCCACATTCCCGGACAGTCTGCACCAACTACCCATCCCCTCCTCCCTCAAACCCCTTGGCCTGCCCGAGGGCCAGCTGGACATCAAGAGCGATGTGTAGCAGCAGTGTGACATGATGCATGCTCCATTGTAAACAGTTGTATCTTAGCATGATGTGTGAGAGTGTTTGAAGACTGTATAGAGGAGGAAGAAATACTCAGATCTTGTACTTAAGTACTAGTAGAAGTATCAGAGTGTAGAAATACTATGTTAAAAGTAAAAGTCATGCATTCAAAATGTTACTCAAGTAAAAGTACAAAAGTATTAGCATCAAAATAGTACTTATTATGCAAATAGCCCAATTGTTTTATAATGATTGATCAAGTGTTATCAAAGCTGGTAAAGGTGCAGCTAGTTTGAATTACTTTGACCAGGTTTAACTACATTCATATTGAAGTGTTGAATATCATTTTAATAATTATATCTCCAAATCTGCAGAGTAACTAAAGGTATTCAATAAATGTAGTGGAGTAAAAGTACACAATATACCTCTGAATTGTAGTGGAGTAGAAGTACAAAGTAGCAAAAACTGAAAATACTCAAGTAAAGTACAAATCCCTCAAAATTGTAAAGTAGCCTACAGTACTTGAGTAAATGTACTAAGTTACTTTATAGCTCTGTCTGTATGTGCACGAAGCAGTCATTATGGCTGAAAAGATAACCCTTAAAGGTGGGGTAGGTAAGTTTGAGAAACCGGCTCGAGATACACTTTTTGTTATATTCCATGGAATGCTCTTAACATCCCGATAGCAATGAATACCTGAAGTGCTTTGACAAAATATACATAAAATATCATCTGTGGAAGCCGTGGCGCTGTAAAAAGCACGACCAATCATCTGAGCCGGCCCGGCTAAAGTAACTGGATGGCCTACCTGCCTGTCAGCCTTCCATCTGTGCACAAACTTATCTCGTGCCCTCATTGGTCATGTGCGCGTTCGTGTGTGTTGGAGGAGGGGCTCTGTGAGGAAGAGGCAGATTTGTTCCGGTTGTGTATTTTCAAATTCTAGCGCACTCGAGCTGGTTTCTCCAAAATGACCTACCCCACCTTTAAGGTAAGGGGCAATTAAATGAATGTTATCTAAAAAATGAATTTGACCCACTGATTGAGTTTACTGGAGGTTGACTGGAAACCAGGGAACGAACAGCCATATTCTGAAACCTTTTACACTAATCCAGGCTTTATTATGCATTCTAACCTCAATCTGAAGTGTTAGCCGCAAATACTACTGCTACTGAAGCCACTGAGCAGACCAACACTGAACACAGTCTACAGGTACTGTTGATTTGTCACTATTTATTTAAATAGCAATGGGATCTTATAGATCATTTGAGTACAGCCAGGTGACTTGTAAACTCTTTGGATGACTGCATTTTTTTAAATAAATAGGAATCCAAGTGATCTCAGTGTGTCTTTCTTGACCTCATAAATGTAATTGAACACATTTGTTTATCTGCTGGTCCTTATCACCTAACTACGTCTCTCCACGAGCAAGTAAGAAACTAACCCTGCTCAAACTTTGAGATGGAACATTTGTTTTTGGCTTTAGAGTTTGCAAAATATATCGTATCTCAAGGTCCAGCGTCTCTTCTGTAGCTGTCTACCCCACCCACTGTCTCGTAGAAGAGGACAGGGCGACCCTCCTACTCTCTGTGCATGTTTAGTTGTCAGTAAAGAGGGATTACTTTGTAGTGACTCAATTAACAGAAATGTACTTTAGTGTACCGCAAAAACTGTAGTGGTTTGTTAAAAGCCTTAAAATGTGAGATGAGGCCAGAATAATAATGTGGCCCTTATCATTTCCCATTATAATTCACCATATTCAAAGTCATTACAGACTTATTTCTATTTACCTCCCAGGACATGCATGCTGAGTCGGCCTCACTTGAAAATGTCGATTTTACCACACATCCCATCTTTTCAATCCAGGAGACAAACAACATATATTCTTAGTTGTCTGTATCTGTGACAAATACTTCCAATGTATCTGTGCTGGAAGCATACATCTCAGAAAAAGAGATTTCATAAAACCTGACAAAAGAGACCACTGAAGGGAAGTGAGTAAACAATGTTGATTTATAATTTGGAGAACCGACCCTTACCATATTTACTGTTTTAGCTGGTACAGCTTTATTTATATAGCACATTGCATACACCAGGTGCGGCTCAAAGTGCTTTAACAAAATGGCACACAGAATCCCCTCAGATCAGACAGTAAGACCTTTTTGGAAACATGCAGCATAGCAACATGATATAGTTTAACAGACACAAGGAAGTAAAAGGTATAATAACGACAAAATAAATGATGATCGCCTTTTAGAAAAATAAAGGAAGAAATAAGACAGAATGAATAGATACAATAAAACATAAAAACCTATACAAATAAAAATATATATAATAACATTTAAAAAATGATAAAAACGAAATAATAATATTAATAAAGGTTATAAGGAATTGTCGCTAATAAAACTGTTAAAAATAATATCAGTTAAAACCTATAAAATAAATAAAACAATAGAAAAATAAATAAAGACTAAAAGACCATTTAAAATGGGTGTGTCGCTAATAAGAAGCGAGATGATGTGTCTAGCTGTCGTTTAAAAATGCAGAGTTTGTTAGATATTTCTAATACGATAGTTAGCGTGTTTCATAAAAAGGTCTGAATCAAATATACTAGACTATTACTTTAATACTATGATTCATAATTTAATTAAATAATCAAATGTTAGCTCATTGCAACAGATCCCACAGTAGGTTACAGCGCAGTAAATTAAAACCAAATCAACATTTCCAAATATTAACAACAGGGTGGCAGTTCTACTTGCTTGTTGATCTTGTTTAGCTTGTTTGTCAACCCCCCTGTTACATTCAGGGTCAAATTGACCCGTTTGAAAGTTTGAAAATCTACAAAAAATACTAAAATACTAAAAGGGGTCAGAGGGCTCAAATGGGATATACGGTATATATATATCGTATATTCCACACACAGACAGACAGACAGACAGACAGACAGACAGCCAGCCGCACCTGGCAGTGAAAGTTGAGGCTATAAGGGGACACACTAACCCACTCGAACACACACACATACACACACATATTCTTAATTGCTGTTACAATAAAATACTTTCAATACAAATCCTCATGACTCATTTGGCTTGATTCTAGTGAACGGGTCAATTTGACCCTGAACAGAAGAGGCATCTCTATTTATCAACATCAACCAATTGGAAAAAAAGTTGGAACATTTTAAAAGTAATTTAAAAAATGTTATGTTATGTTAAAAATGTTATAAAATGTATTTTATATCAATACATATTGATTTCATTGATAGTAATAAAAGGTACAAACTATGTCCAAAAAAAATTCTGTATTTTGGGGCTTCTGACCATTTTTGGATAATTAAACATGAAATTGACCCACGAATAATATTGCTGTTACAAAAAACGAATATAACAGGGGAGTTAAAGGAATGGTATGCTCATGACACTCATTTTTAAATAATTATCATCCGATAAAACAGACCCGTCTCTGCCAGTCTTTTTTTTTTTTTTTTAATCCGATGACATTGTAAGCATTGGGTTGAGAGGTCATGTGTTGTGAGCATGCGCGGGCTGTCCTAGAGTGAAGAGAGAGATGGTGGTGTGACTCGACAAGAATAAACGGAGGCGCTATCTGGGACGCTCCAAAAAGTTCCTGAGTTATTGTTACACAGAAGTATCTTTGAAGCCTTAACACCTCGGACGTTACATTGGTGGCAGCGGTATTGGAGTGTGTTTTATCTGCTCGTGGATTATTATTTTCTGTGGACAATTACTGGACTTTCTGGTCGGCTCTGCTGGCTAGCTGTGCTAACGGTGCTAGCGTCATGTTCGGAGGAATGAAGAGTGACGGCGATATGGAAGACGATTATAACGGATGTACTGCTTCTTGGACTGGTTCTGTGAGTAATGATATTAAAGTGGAGCTGCCGCCGATGTTTAGGGGTGACGGCCAGAGGCAGTTCGCTACGTGGATAAGACAGTTTGAAGCCGCTGTTCGTGCTTAGACGAGGGGTGCTAGGGGCACGAGCTACGCAGCTACCTTGCTGAACATTCTACCTACCAGACTGGACGGTGCAGCTTTCCAATGCTAGCAGTACTGCTCGGAGGGCCGGAGCCCGCCGACAGCATAAAACGCTGCCGGCGGACGGCCCGTTCGCAAACCGGCCCGGCTCCGCCCCCCCGCGACCTTCGTAAAATGGCCGGACCCCCGGGCGGTCCCGGGACGGTCCCCGGGCCTCCGGCCGTCGCCGCGGCCCGCCCCGGCGACGACCCCCCCCGGCGACCGGCGGGGTTTAACCCGTTAGGGGGCTCCCGGACGCCGTCCCGTCTCCGGCCACCAGGTGGAGGTGGCGGGGGCGTCCGCGGAGCCCGTACGGGAGCCCTCTTTCCGCGTATTACGCAGCGACGCTAGTATTCGCCTGCCGTGTACTTGTACTTGGGGGGGGGGGGTGTCCGTCAACCCAATATGGCGCCCACTTACCATATATTACACAGTAACACATGTATTCGCTTGCTGTGTACTTGTACTTGGGGGGGGGGGGGTGTCCGTCAACCCAATATGGCGCCCACTTACCATATATTACACAGTAACACATGTATTCGCTTGCTGTGTACTTGTACTTGGGGGGGGGGGGGTGTCCGTCAACCCAATATGGCGCCCACTTACCATATATTACACAGTAACACATGTATTCGCTTGCTGTGTACTTGTACTTGGGGGGGGGGGTGTCCGTCAACCCAATATGGCGCCCACTTACCATATATTACACAGTAACACATGTATTCGCTTGCTGTGTACTTGTACTTGGGGGGGGGTGTCCGTCAACCCAATATGGCGCCCACTTACCATATATTACACAGTAACACATGTATTCACTTGCTGTGTACTTGTACTTGGGGGGGGGGGTGTCCGTCAAGCCAATATGGCGCCCACTTACCATATATTACACAGTAACACATGTATTCGCTTGCTGTGTACTTGTACTTGGGGGGGGGTGTCCGTCAAGCCAATATGGCGCCCACTTACCATATATTACACAGTAACACATGTATTCACTTGCTGTGTACTTGTACTTGGGGGGGGGTGTCCGTCAAGCCAATATGGCGCCCACTTACCATATATTACACAGTAACACATGTATTCACTTGCTGTGTACTTGTACTTGGGGGGGGGTGTCCGTCAACCCAATATGGCGCCCACTTACCATATATTACACAGTAACACATGTATTCACTTGCTGTGTACTTGTACTTGGGGGGGGGGGGTCCGTCAACCCAATATGGCGCCCACTTACCATATATTACACAGTAACACATGTATTCACTTGCTGTGTACTTGTACTTGGGGGGGGGGTGTCCGTCAACCCAATATGGCGCCCACTTACCATATATTACACAGTAACACATGTATTCACTTGCTGTGTACTTGTACTTGGGGGGGGGGGTGTCCGTCAACCCAATATGGCGCCCACTTACCATATATTACACAGTAACACATGTATTCACTTGCTGTGTACTTGTACTTGGGGGGGGGTGTCCGTCAACCCAATATGGCGCCCACTTACCATATATTACACAGTAACACATGTATTCACTTGCTGTGTACTTGTACTTGGGGGGGGGGTGTCCGTCAACCCAATATGGCGCCCACTTACCATATATTACACAGTAACACATGTATTCACTTGCTGTGTACTTGTAACCAATATGGGTCCCACTTTCCGCATATTACACAGTAACACAAGTATTCACTTGCTGTGTACTTGTAACCAATACGGGTGCCCACTTTACGCATATTACACAGTAACACATGTATTCACTTGCTGTGTACTTGTAACCAATATGGGTCCCACTTTCCGCATATTACACAGTAACACAAGTATTCACTTGCTGTGTACTTGTACTTATGGGGGGGGGGGTGTGTAGATGTAGGTGCCCACTTGTAGATCCCACATCTCAGGGGAGGCGCTCTCCGTCGTGCTGAACCCCTGCCCCATCCTAATATGGAAGCCCACTTGTAGATCCCACATCTCAGGGGAGGCGCTCTCCGTGGTGCTGAACCCCAATATAACCCTAACCCAATATTTCCGCCATCAAAATGTACAAACGACACATCAAATCACATCTACAGACCAAGACGAAGCGAATGGATATACTTTCAGACACCTATCGTGTGTAAATGTTTGCGAAAGTGTGAAGTATCCGAAACGGAGCATATTTCCACTTGGGTTATTGATTAGTAGTTAACAAATAATGACTATGCTATTACACTTTTGGTTTGACTTTAACAGCATGTGGTTAGCCACCATTTTAGAGGAGGAGTCACAGATGATATAAATATAAGACCCCAAAAGACGGACG